GTTAAGAAACCATACCACGGGATTTGCATGTTCCTTTCCTTTTCCAGAAGGGATAGCCTTTTTTGTCTCCTTTGATATTGGTTTGTGCTTTTCCTTTGCCTTTGCTTATAAAAAAATAAGTAGAATCTATTTATAAATAATTTATAAAATGACAAGAAAATCCATTTTCATATTAGTTATTTTTAGGCTTACCTCTTGAATGCGAATAGTATTAAGGTTACGCTCATCGCGAACAACAACATTAAAATTTCTTTGTTGAAGAAATTGAATCTACATATACAAAAACTTTATAGTGATAATAAAATTTGTACAGATAAATAAGAAAAAAAATCATTTGTTTCTTGACATTACCGTTTGGTGTAAGTCTTCATCCACCTATAAAGTATGAGTTGTTTAAAGCATTTATTAAAAGAAAATTAAATATGATACACTTAAAATAAATAAATAAATAAATAGGCTTTACACTATAAGAAAAGTACTTAAATTTATATGGAGGGGGAGGAAAAAAAAATTTACTTGACCAAAAATAGTGATATTGTCCATAACTGTTGTACTTCAACCTAAAAATATTTGGTTATATAATTATGACTGTTGAATGATGTATTTTAACAATCACATTAAAATGATAAAATTAAAATCAGTCCTAGCAACATAAAGGGTATTAAAATGGGAGTACAACAATTGTCCAAATTTGAACTCTTCTCTTCCCCAACTAACTTCAATTTTATAGTCTTCAAATTAAATTTATGATTATGATTTAGGAAGTCCAAACATAAATGTATGACCAAAAAAAAAAGTTGTTTAATCAGAAATTTATACTAACTATCAAGTAAAACTAACCCAACACATTAAAAAGACAATGGAACATTCCCAACAAAAATGGAACAAACAACCCCAAGTTCATAATAAAAAATGAAACAAATAAACAATGGAACAAACTATACGTACTGGAAAAAAAACTAAAAAAACACATTGGTTAAACCATACCTACCAATTTGAATTGGAGGAAATGAATAGAATAAATTTATCACCTATCTTATAATTCAATTAAAAACACAATTGAAACTGATAATCACTTCAATAATTAATTATTAAGCATTAATAAGTCACTATATCATGATACAAAAAAACTTGATATATGTTATAGAAAAATAAGACACTTGGTAATGAAAAAAAAAAGAAAAGAAGCAAAAAAATAAAAATGTCATAGACAAACCATACCTATATATATAATGAACAACCATCAGCCAAACCATACCTATACATGAATAACTTACAAAGCAAGACCATAATGAGGAGTTCATGCAAACCATATCTATATAATATTCATGCACCCAATTAAATTCCCTCAAATCTTGTACCCAAAGTAATGAAACCCAAGGATCTCAAACCTCAAAAACAGGTTCTAATTGCTTTTTTGGAGTCTTTTAGTGACAATTTTTTAAAGATGAATTCAAGTTATTACTTCAGAAAATAAACACACATTTTTCAAGTTGTACGAATATGAATAAGTAGATTGGGTCGATTATATGGATTTTTATATATTAAATTCAATATCTGTCCAAAATAAGAATTAAATTCATCAATCTCAACCATAGCCGAGTGGTCGAAATCGCCTCTATCGTATTCTGTTGATCGGGTCGGTTCTTCAAGTAATCTGGATTTCTACATTCCCCCTAAAATTATGACGTTTGTAAAACAATAATTAAAAAAAATATGCTTAGCCTAAACAATAATTAATAAAATGAATAGGTACGCATTTCAAGTTGTAAGCATTTTCCCAATATAAGTCTTCTCAACTGTATTTAGGCTCAATTTGAAAATTGCTAACTTAGTTAATTTTCTAATTTTTTACAAAAAAAAAAAAAAAATCTATACAATATTTTATAGTGATTTTTAAATTTTTAATTAAAAATTATAATTCCGAAACAGACTTTAAAATTTTATTTTTTACACACCCACCCCAAAGAGTTCATTCACACACCGACCACAAAGAGCTAAAGGGTCGAGTCGCCTCAATTTTTTTCCACTCTCATTCAAACCATAATTCCCAAACGGGTTTCAAATCATAATCCGGTTAGAAGCGGGTGAGTTTTTTTTTAGCCAATATTGTCAAGTTGGTTGAGCAATTGATGGTAAAATTGAGCCTTAACTTGATTAAAAAAATGTTACATGAATCATCCAAAAGCACACAACATAGAAGAACCAAAGTAATGAAACCCAAGGATCTCAAACCTCAAAAATAGGTCCTAAATGCTTTTTTGGAGTCCTTTGCTGTTCCTGAAATGCATTAAATTTTGTAGAGCATTATTGCAACGAGAACAACAAAAGGGTAATTCCAATTTCAAGTGTAAACATAACAAATTGATTAGACCAACTCTCCAAAGCTATTTGAAATGAAAAATGTTACATGAATCATCATAAAGCACACAACATAGAATAACTAAAGTATTGGGAAGCACTTTTGTCAAAAATAAAAAGAAAAAATATGAAGAAAAATAAAAGAAAATTTAGCTCCTCTAGTGAATTAAATGTGAAATAGAATGCTTATTACACAGAGTCATAAAGCAACCTGGAAATAAATTAACAATCATAATTTTTACTACTCAAACAATACCTAATTAACATATCCTCTCGGATCTCGACACATAATTATTAACTCCACACCTGGGCCAAACAAAAAAAATTGAATAGGAGAAACAATAAATAAATAAATAAAAGTAGAAAAATACCAGTGAATCAAATCTCTAGATGGTATGTAGCTTCACAACAAAATTCATCCTATGACATCTGGTAACCAAACCACAAAATTTAGACAATTGCATAAGAATGAGGATCCTCCCCTTGCAGCTCTTGTACTTGCGCCCGTCCTTGCAGGCCTTCGGGTCTACTTTTAGGCCCAATTTTCATAATCCGAATCGTTCATATTTTATGATTTATTCAGTATATCATACCTGTAAAAAATCAAGTTGATCGGATATCAGAAAGTATGTGTTCGAAAAATTGAACTAAAAACTATTTTTTAAAGAATTTAATAAACAGTTTTCCGAACATATGCTTTCTGATATCCGATCAACTTGATTTTTTACAGGTATGATATATTGAATAAATCATAAAATATGAACGGTTCGGATTATTAAAATTGGGCCTAAAAGTAGACCCGAAGGCCTGCAAGGACGAGCGCAAGTACGAGGCTGCAAGGAGAGAACCTTGGCTCATTGCATAATTGCATTGTGTCATGATCTAGAACCAAGTTTGACTCAAAGGCAACACCGCACCTCATTTCCAAACTCTGGATACTAATCTTAAAATGCAAGCTCCCATAGAGAGAGTGGGGATATTTTACAGAGCAACAACATGAGAGTAGTTTAAAAACCCAAGTACTCCATTTTAGCCTATATCTCATCCACTTAGCCAAAGAAAATGCACTTTAAACTCTGGATACTAATCCTATGCTTTCTTGCCCTTGTTTACTTGTAGGGTTATAATAACAGAACAAAAACCAAACAAAGAAAAGATAACCCTGCTCTTGAAATCATAGAGAATGTTAAGCTCTTTGTGATATTCACGTCTTTCATAATGAGTAAGAATATTTTACAGAGCAACAACATGAAAGTAGTTAAAAAAAACCAAGTACTCCATTTCAGATTAAAAAAATTTTAGAATCTAAAACCAACAGATTCTGTATAACGATTAGCAGTAAACTTGAGAAATCTAACCATATTTATAACATCTATAAATACCCACAAATCTGAAATCCATGTATTGACTAATTCATAAAAACATGGTACTTAAAAACGAACACAAAAAGCAATTTTGGCATAGAATCATAACCAGGAAACCGTAAATTATATACACACAAAAAAAACATGAATTTGCTTTAAATCAATCACATACTTAAAATTCAATACAAAACATGTAAATTCTAAAAACAAACTTCAAAATTCAAATAATTCATAAACAAAACTTTAATATACAATTGTGAAGTCTGCAATTATGATCTCCTTACTGTTCAAAAAAAAAAAATTCGATCTCCTTACAATGTATTCATGAAATGAATGAGAAGAACAGAGAGAAAAGGATAAAAAATATCAAACCCTAATCACACCAATCAAACCCAATATATATAACTTGAAGCGAATGTAAAATAAAGAACTGCAACAAGCTCGAAATTAGGGTAAAATACCTCTGTTCTTGAAGACGACAATAGGGTTGGAACTGCAGCAAGGGAAATTAGTTAAAAACAAAATCAGAGAGAGAAGGGGAGAGGCAAAAATTGAGTGAAAAGACTCAATCTGACCTTGCGAGAGCAGCGTCGGTAGCGTATCGATAACGACAACGGGGTTTGAACTGCAGCAAGCCAAATTGCAATAAGGGAAATTAGTCAAAAAGAAAAACAGAGAGAGAAGGGAAGAGGCAGAAATTGAGTGAAAAAGCTCAATCTTACCTTGCGAGAGCAGCGTTGGTAGCGTGGATAGAGAAGGGAGGCGAGTTCGAAGGGTTGTAAGGGAAGGAGGAGTAGCGTAACGAAGAGGGAGGATGGGTATCGAAGGGTTGGGTTTTTGCTGAATTTGGTCTTCCTCTTCAATGGCTGTGGTGATGAGCAGCAGTGGGCTATTTTGTGAGAATGTGAGAGACAATGTAACAAAGAACGTGGGAGAGAGGGAGTTGAAGGGAACGTGTTTAGGGATGTGGGAGAGAGGGAGAGATGAGCTCAAACGGACAGGAACTAAATGTATATAGACCATTGATCTAAATGTATATGTACTTAGGATTCATCTTGACTGTTAAAATCAATTGTATCTCTGATACATTTTATATATTCTCAAAATCCGTTCTGCTTTATGATATAGATTTTCTTTTAGAATTGATGCAATTTTATAATTAAAATTTGATTTACTTTTTTTTTTTTTTACAAATTTTTATTTTTGTGATTTACAATGGATGCCAAATTTTGTATTTTCCCTCACCTATATCACCTATAACATTGACTTGACCATGGACTTGCTTCTTTGCTTAGCCATAACCTCACCCACTTCCTTCTCTGCTTTTCACCATGGACTTGCTCTCCATCTCTTCCACTCTATCTTCCACCCCTCTCTCATCATACCCATCTCTGGGTTCTCTCAAGCTCCCTAACCCTAACCCTAACCCTAACCCTCTCTCCAAAACCCTCACTTTATCTCTCCGACCTTTCACACCACCACCATCCTTGAAATGCTCACTTGCTTCTCACCAATTATCCGCCAATCCCAAAACCCTAATCGATGGTGGTCAGTTAGGGTTCGAGCTCAAAGAACCCCACCACTCTCTGCACTTGTCGTCTCCACAGACGCCTGCAACAGCTATGAGAGGCGCCGAATCCGATGCTATGGGACTGTTGCTGAAGGAGAGGATTGTGTTCTTGGGCAACCAAATCGATGATTTTGTAGCCGATGCTATCATCAGTCAGTTGCTTTTGTTGGATGCTCAAGACCCAAGTAAAGATATCAGGCTTTTCATCAATTCACCTGGTGGGTCTTTGAGGTATGTACACAGTACATATATATGCATACATAATTGGTGCTTAATTTAGTTGTTTTGTCTATTCTGACCATGATTTGAGCAGATAGTATTTGTTTATTTGATTGTTTACCAATCCTATATTACTTGCCAATTTTGAGAAAATCTTAATTTAGTAATTGTTGGAATTTTAGTGAGGACATTTGAAAGTTTGGTTTTTGGATTATGCTTTGTGGAAAGATTGGACTGTATCCGTAATTTCAAAGTTATTGTACTTGGTGGTAGAATGACAATTAATATAGAAATGGAAATTTGTATATGTAATTGCTACAAAGTATAGTAAGTGGGTAGAAGTAAATGAAGGCAATTGATGGTCTGCAGTATATGTGATGGTGGTGAATGTGCAAATGGACGTCAATGGTGATGCAAAAAATTGTATATATATTGATTGTGTTAAGTGGAGCATGACCATAAAGGCTTGTGAAGGATGAAGGGAGAATGTTGTGACATCATCTTCATAGATCATTTCATGCACGGAGGGGATTTAAGTTAGGTGACTCGCTTACTTGAGCAAAATTGTTCACATTTATTTAGTGAAGATAGGTTGTTTAAAGTTTCCAAATTTTGCTCATTACTTTTGTAAAGTCTCTTGCTTGCTGCTTATTTGCTGTATTATGTGAACAAGAAAGTCAGTTTCATACCCTTGTGTTCTATGATAGCTATGAACTTCATTGTATACCCTTGTGTTCTATGATAGCTATGAACTTCATTGTACTTTGTCCTATCCTATTGAAGTAGTTTATGAGTTATGGACTATATACTTGTCATTGATTGTTTTTACAATGTGAGCTCATTGATGTTTGACACATTTAAGTAGTCCTTATTTTCCTGCCAAAAAAAGGTTTCATTAGATAGAATAAGTTGTTTCTGTCACCCTGAGTCATCTACTGTTTCTCTAGAATGTGCTTATGCACTCTTGTATTAAATATGTGCCTGTAGTTTGTTTGGTTGTATTTTTGGGTAACAAGATATCCTCCACAACGAAAATTTCCAAGCCTGTATTAATAACGTGTTTGTTTGGAACTAATCAAGCCCAGTTTTCATCAGTCTTTGCCTCAACTCTAATGTGCCCATGCCTTAATATATGTTTCACCAGCCATTCTGTTAAGTTTCAAAGTAGTCTCAAGTTGAATTGTCCTTAAGGCCTTTGCCCCTTTATTCTTTTGGCAAGTGGCTGTGTCAGTCACTCATTGTGCAACTTGCCCTCTTCCCCCCCCAGCTTCTTCTCTTTTTCTCTCTCCTTTCTTGGGTTTGTGTTTTTCCAGGGTGTCCCCAGCGTATTTTGAGTCAATAATTGCCACAGATTACAGGAAATTAATATATCTAAGTGTCATATTTGAAGCTAAAGGAACTGTTAATGCACAGATAGATATAGATTTATTCTTCATATCTGTGTCATGTTGTTAGTTAGATGTGCTAAAATGTTTTGTTCCACCGCTGCTTTTCAGTTCTGCTTTGCTAATTTGCTCAGCTTCTTTCAAATATCAGTGCTACAATGGCCATCTATGATGTCCTACAGCTTGTGAGGGCTGATGTTTCCACAGTTGCACTGGGCATTTCTGCATCAACAGCTTCCATAATCCTTGGTGGTGGCACCAAAGGCAAACGCCTTGCAATGCCCAACACACGGATAATGATACATCAACCTCTTGGAGGTGCAAGTGGACAAGCGATAGATGTGGAAATCCAAGCCCGGGAAATCATGCATAACAAGGACAATGTCACAAGAATTATATCCACTGTCACCGGTCGCCCATTCGAACAAGTTCTAAAAGACATTGATAGGGATCGCTACATGTCTCCTATCGAAGCAGTTGAATATGGAATAATTGATGGTGTTATTGATAGAGATAGTATTATTCCACTTATGCCTGTGCCGGAGAGGGTGAAAGCTACACTCAATTATGAGGAAATGAGCAAAGACCCGAAGAAATTCTTGACACCAGATATCCCTGATGATGAGATATATTAGTTGGAGGCTATTAATACAGGTACATCATTCTTAGAGTTGTTGTTTTATGTACTGGGTGCCTCTTCCTTTGGGGTGTGTATGTATAATCTAGTAAGTGAAAATCTGGAAATTTGAAATTAGAGCTAGGAAACCATTTTTTGTTTGAATGTTGCTATGACTATCAAAATGGTCATATGGACTTTTTTTGCTACATGCAATGTTGCCTCTCCCTTTGACTCAGAATTTGGTGGGTTTGATATGTTGCTTACAGACAGAATTGTGTATTGATGACACTAAGTATACCAATGTGAGCGAAAAGGGAAATGACAAAGCATTGACAAATGCTGATAAATAAATTGCTAGCAGTCCTCTAAATTCATGATTTCATTGAACGGCAAGGGTGAAGGGGAAAATTTTTTAGGGCTACGCTGAGAGGTTGTAAATTTCAGGTTGTGTTAAGGCTTGGTAATTCATAGATTTAACTTTGGGAACTCTTTGGAAAGTCAGTGATAACTGAAAAGCAAAATTCATAATGATGACATATATTCACTGGAAAGATTGTTTACGTTCTTTTCGTGGGGGCCTAAAAAGAGTGGAAATTTTTAATGTGGCTTGTTATTTGTTTTGTTGTTCTTATTCATCAGCTGCCTGTTGAAAACCTAGAATTTTATCCGTATTTTGCAAAAAATTACTCTATAAGCTGGATTAACTTGAAGATTAAAGGATTTTCCTTTCTAAACATGGATTTATTGTAAAATTCAATTAAGCTCAACAGTGTACAAAAAATTCCCAACGGGAACTTTTGACAAAGGTGCTTCTGTGTATTTTGCATCAGATTCTTACGGGAAAAAGAAGGAAATAACAAATGTTTTCTGCCCATGCTGACTCAAATTTGATGAATGTACATGTGTTTCCTCTAGAGTCTAGACCTTTCTCGTTTCTGAACCTTGTCATGTGTTATGATGTAAGAACTTGTCCAAAAAAAAAAGTGTGATGACATAAATTTTTGGATAATGTGTATGTTTGTCATGGAAAATCCTGGGCACTTTTTTTTTTATTATATTTATCAGCCCTGCCCATTGTTGGTGCTGTTTTTGTGTTATGACTCATGAACATGAGTGATGTGATGATTATGGAATTTTTTTTTTTTTTTGGGTTCATTTCTTCCGTCTTATAATTTTATTTCATCAGGTTCGAGTCAAGGCTTGGCAGTAGCAGATTGTTCAGCTTTTTCATTTGGTGTCCCAGCCACTGGGAGTTCTGTTGCAAAAGGGCTGGACCAATGCAAAAAGATTGGCAGAATCATGGTTGAGATGTGTTATGATTCTCTTATTTCCATTTGTGAAATTGATTTTTTTAAAGATTTTTTATTTTCTCCAACCTCCTCATGTGATCCTACTGTGAAGGAAGATGGCAATGTTGATTTAATGGCAAGATTTCACAACCACTTCTCTAACTATTGTTGCATGCTTGAGTTAGGTTAGCCTGTGTTCAAGAGACTAGGATTTTTTCTTTTAATGGTTTGTTTATTTCTTTGCTGCATATGACGGCAAGTGTTTCATTTTTCTATGTGAGGCATTAGGAATTTGACTCTCTTACTTACATATTGAAATAGACAATTTTCAGACACTGAAATCTTGGGGAGAGATTTACTATACCTCAATTTTTTTTTGTTCAGCTTGAAAACAAAAGCAATCACCTTGTTTGGATTTAAAAAATTGAATTTTTTGTTTTTTGTATTATTTTGTTTTTAGTCTAAAATTATAATATTTAATTTTTTTTTAATTTTTAAATGCACCTAGCCTTAAAAAGTATAATATTTATGATTTTTTTTGTTAAAAAAAAATTCATTAGATACAAAAAATACAAAAATTCAATATATATGAATTTTTATATTTTTATGTATTTATTGAATTTTTTAAATATTTTTTTTTTATAAATATTTTATTTTTTTGGTGCATTTAAGTTATGAACATATGAAGTGAAAAAAAAAAATTAAAATTTTTGATTAAAAACGAAAGGACATAGAAAATGAAAAAAATTCAGTGTGCTTGGTTTTAGTTTTCTGAAAATTGAGTTTTTTATTTTTCGTATTTTTTTTTGTTTTTAGTGAATATTTTTAAAATTTTAAGTAATTTTTTTTTTTACTTTTTTAGATGCACCTTACTTAGATGTATTTAAAATAGCAAAATATTTGTGAAAAAATACTTTTTAAAATTAATAAATACACAAAAATACGAAAATGTATTGAATTTTCATATTTTGTTTTGTATTTTTTGGCATTTAGTGTATTTTTTAAATATTTTTTCGCAAATAATATACTTTTTAAGTGTATTTATGTTAAGTATGTCTAAAAATTTAAAAAAATGCTTAAAATATTCAAAAAATCATTGAAAATATTAAAATATGAATAATAAAAAAATTGAATTTTCTGAAAACTGTCTTCTAAAAACTGGAACTAAACAATAATTTTCAGAAAATCAATCAAAACGGAGCAATGTATTTAATGTTCTTGCTCTACCAATCCAGGAAGATAGAATTTGCGGTTTGGGTTGGTCCATCCTTCTATATCTTTCATCAATGTGCTATGCACACAAAAGAATGGAATATAGATACGAGACAAAATGCGGATCTTACATGCGGGATCCATCGAACAAACTCTTTGTTTCACATTCTCTGTGCTTAGATTTAGGCCAAGTTTGGGATATGTAAAAAAAGTTAAAAAGTTAAAAAGTTATTCAAAAAGTTAAAAAGTTAACATTATTTATCAAAAGTCAACAATTACGACTGCACAACTTCCAATCTTAATTTTCCTCTACAACCTAATTTTTACAATTTTTTATTACACATTTTTTCATGAAAAGTCAAAAAATTAACCCAAACATTTATATTTTTTCCCTCAACTTTTTAATCTAAAAAGACAAAAAATACACTTATTTAAGACACTTCAAATATGAAATATGTTTGATGAGTTGAAGAAAGCATTCTTAACCTGGCCTTGGTTATGAAAGGTCTGAATCTCGGGTCCTATCATGGGCAAATGGCCTGTATTAGTATGAACCGAAGATGTATCAATTAATTTGATACTAAGAAAAGAGTAGTTTCGATTGATGTAGAAATGTGATCAAAGTATTTCTAATCAATCTTAATACATGTATAGTATATTTAATTTCAGAGCTTTTAATTGTCTCGATGTTTGCATTAAGTAAATAATCTTCAAATAAATGTCGGAGTTCGTAAGGACTAGCGTGCATTGCAAGGCCATTGTTAGTCTTGCGTCGCAGACCCGTGAAAGGAAAATTGAGGTGGGGTACATTTTTTTATTGACGCTGTAGGTTCAACATAAAATAATCATAATTTATTCATAAATTAATAAACAAAGAAAGAACATGCCGGCCCGTTAGTGGAGTCAACTTGGGTGAGCAAGGGTCTTTTAGAATTTTTTTTCTTAAAGTTTTCTAGAGTGGTGTATTGTGTGGTTGAGATTTAATGACAAGTCACATTAATTTTTTAACATTAAATCTTAACTACACAATACACCACTTTAAAAAATTTAAAAAAAAAAAAAAAGGGGATCTTGGTGAACTTGGGTAGGCAGTAACCCGCCTTGAAGTTTCCCTCTTTTCTACTCCCTGCGCTCTCTGTCTCTCTTCTCTCCATTAAAAACCACATAATTTGAATTGGGAGTTGTGCAGCCGTAATTGTTGACTTTTGGTGAATAGTGTCAACTTTTTAACTTTTTAAATAACTTTTTGACTTTTTTTGAAATCCCCAAACTTGGCCTTAGTCTTGCGTCGCAGACCCGTGAAAGGAAAATTGAGGTGGGGTACATTTTTTTATTGAAGCTGTAGGTTCAACATAAAATAATCATAATTTATTCATAAATTAATAAACAAAGAAAGAACATGCCGGCCCGTTAGTGGAGTCAATTTGGGTGAGTAAAGATTTTCTAGAGTGTTTTTTTTTTTAAAATTTTTTAGAGTGGTGCATTGTGTGGTTGAGATTTAATGACAAGTTACATCAATTTTTTAACATTAAATCTTAACTACACAATACACCACTTTAAAAAATTTAAAAAAAAAACTCTAGGGGATCTTGGTGAACTTGGGTAGGCAGTAACCCGCCTTGAAGTTTCCCTCTTTTCTACTCCCTGCGCTCTCTGTCTCTCTTCTCTCCATTAAAAACCACATCGATCCACTTCTCATCAGATTAGTACACACTACTACTACACAGGCGAGACATGTTTCAACCTTTAAAAGAGAGAGAATATGACAGAAAGTGCGGTGACCTTCTTGCTTAGAAAGCTTGGAAGCTTGATTAAAGAAGAGCTGAAATCGTTGGGTGGAGTTAAGCGGGAAATTGTGTTCATCAGAGACGAGCTGGAGAGCTTGAGGGCCTTCCTGAGGGTTGCTGATGCAATTGAAGACAGTGATCCAGAGATCCAAGCATGGGTTAAGCAAGTCAGAGACGTCGCTCACGACACCGATGACGTTCTTGATGAATTTATGCTTCGCTTTGCTCATCGTCATCATCATCATCATCGTGGATTCTATGGAGCTGTTTGTAAGATCTATTATCAAATTAAGAACATGAAAGCTCGTCGTCAAACTGCTTGTGATATACAGGACATCAAAACCAGAGTCATCGATATTGCAGAGAGACGTCAGAGGTATGGTTACAAATTCAGTACCTCAGAGCAAGCCTCAAGCTCCGATGTGGCGAACAATGGAGGATGTTATGATCGAAGAGGTGATGCACTTCTATTTGAAGAAGATGATCTTGTTGGCATCGACAATCCCAAACAACAGCTCATTGATTGCGTCCTTGATGATGCTGATTCTCGACTCAAAGTGATTTCGGTGGTGGGAATGGGGGGTTTGGGTAAAACCAGCCTCATCAAGAAAGTTTACGGTGACACGAAAGTGAAGAGACATTTTCAAAAAAATGCTTGGATCACTCTCTCACAATCATTTAAGATTGAAGAGATCCTCACAGATTTGATTCAACAACTCTTCGATGAAGTCAGACAACCTATCCCTCAGAGGTTCGAAACCATGGACAGCAATAGTCTGAAAGCAGTGCTCAAAGAGTTCCTCCGAGAAAGCAGGTACGTGCTCGTCCTGGATGACATTTGGAGCATAGAGGCATGGGATGCTATCAAACTTGCATTGCCAAACCGCAACTGTGGCAGCCGTGTGCTACTCACAACACGTATCGGTAATGTTGCTTCTACCTCTTGTAGAGAATCCCATGGTTACATCTATGAAATGAATGCTTTGTCTCCAAAAGAGTCTTGGACTCTGTTTTGTAAGAAGACATTTCAGGAGAAGGATTGCCCTCCACATTTAATTGAAATTTCGAAAAGTGTCCTGAGAAGATGTGAGGGCTTGCCCCTGGCGATTGTGGTGATTTCTGGGGTGTTGGCTTCAAAGGACCAGGGAAGAGTAGATGAATGGGAGTTAGTGAATCGCAGTCTTGGTGCTGAAGTTGAAGGCAGTGATATGAAGAAAATATTGTTTCTAAGTTACAATGATTTGCCATATTATCTCAAGTCTTGTCTCTTGTACTTGAGTAATTTCCCAGAGGATCATTTGATCGATTGGATGAGCACGATTCGATTGTGGATCGCAGAAGGATTTGTGGAAGTCAAAGAATTTGGAAAGACACTAGAGGAAGATGCAGAGGCTTACCTCTATGAGCTCCTTAATAGAAGCTTGATTCAAGTGGCAATGAGAAGGGATGACGGAAGGATCGGAAAGTGTCGTATACATGACCTTTTGCGTGAAATTATTCTTTCAAAGTCAAGAGATCATAACTTTCTAACGATAGCAGGAGAAGGAGAAGGAAACATGAGGTGTCCTGAAAAAGCTCGACGACTATCAATTCATAATACCTTACCAAATATACCAGAACAAGATAAGTGTTTCTCTCAACTACGTTCTTTGCTTATGTTTGGGGTAGATGAACCTATGTCTGAGTCCTCCATGCCTCTATTGTTCAATGGTGGGTTGAGGTTGTTAAAAGTTCTACACTTGAGAAATGCTTCTTTGGAGAGATTTCCAGGCCATGTGGTCAAGTTGTTCCATCTAAAGTATCTAAGCTTGAGAGGAACAAACGTGAAGGTGCTTCCAAAGTCGATTGGATTGCTTTGGAACCTAGAGACGTTAGATCTTAAAAACACGTATGTGAGAGAGTTGCCTGTTGAAATTCTAAGGCTCCAAAAGTTGCGCCATCTTTCGTTATATCGTTATGAAACTGGGCATATTTATCTTTCATTTCACTGCAAATATGGCTTTGAGGCACCATCTAAGATAGGCGGCTTGCAATCCCTACAAAAGTTATGCTTCTTAGAGGCAAACCATGCCAATGGTAGCACCCTAGTGAAAGAGATAGGAAGGCTGACCCAATTAAGGAGGTTGGGAATTTTGAATTTGAGAAGAGAGGATGGGGTGGGTTTGTGCTCATCCATTGAGAAGCTAAGCAACCTTCGCTCATTATATGTAACTTCAATAGAAGAGGATGAGATCCTTGATCTACAATCTCTATCTCCTGCTCCTCAATTTCTTCAGCGACTATACTTGAGAGGATATTTAGAGAAGTTACCGCAGTGGATAACTTCTCTTCATGGCCTCACGTGCTTATCTTTGTGGTGGAGCAAGTTAAAGGATGATCCACTGAAATCCTTTCAAGATTTGCCCAATCTGGTTTTTCTCTCACTTCCTTATGAAGCATACGAAGGGGAGGGATTGTGTTTCAAGGCTGGTAGATTTCAAAGACTCAAGCGTTTATACCTTGGAAGATTAAAAGGATTGAGATGGTTGACAATGGAGGAAGGTACGATGTCTCGACTTGAAGATCTATTAATCTTTAATTGTGAATTGTTAGAGGAGTTGCCCTCAGGCATTGAACATCTATCAAATCTTAAAAATCTTGAACTGTCTGACATGTCTGATGAATTAATTTCAAAGTTGAATCCAGGTGTACAAGATGGGGATTATTGGAAAATACAACACATCCCAAAAGTATGGATTGATGACTCAAAAGATGGTTATTGGAAAGGAAGATATCTCTAATGAGAGAAAGGAATTTTTTTTTTTTAATGTTTAATTTACCAAATTGATCATTATCATGTTTAGTGCCGTTTCATTTTCATGTTCATGTTCATGTTCTTGTTATTTTATTTATTTATTGAATTTCTCATAGCGATTTAGAATTCTCATTTTGTATCTCTTTTTTATTTATTTATATTTTGTCGGCTTGCAAATCTAATATGTAACCTCCTTAATTAATCTCTAAAGAATTATAGAAGCTTTATTAAATTCAAATTTAGAATTGCAATTGTTTATTTTGCAATTGTAATGATTTTAATTTGTATCTGTACAAGTTAAACAGATCTCAAATGTAATGTAATTTTTATTAGTTTTGTGATTTCTATGAATTTTTGTGTTTAAGCGTGTATAAGAGACTAAATTCAAATTACCTGTTGAATTCATGGACTTCTGAGTGGGATTTGTATGTGTTTGCCACAATGACTAATTAACACATTTAGGCTATGTTTGTTTTGGTTGAAGACAAAATTAAGTACATTAATACCTAAAAATAATTAAATAATTACACACTTTTAAACATTTATTAAGATGCTCTTAGAGATTTTTTTAGTGTAATTTTTTAAAAAAAATTACAAAAAAAAAAAAATGAAGAATTGACCCTTCTAAAAAAAATTATTTTTATTAAATGAATAGAGACACAAGTGTTTTCATTCATTTACTATTTTTTTTCTCTTTTTTAAATTCAAAATTCAATAAATGAAATGAAATTGCTTTTGCACCAGCAAGAGTTGATAAGCCTTTGTATTACACCAGCTGAAGCTGCCTAAGCAATAGGGGCACAAAATTGAAGAAAATAAATAAATAGTAGAAGGTAAAAAAAATAAAAAATAAAAACCTACTCAACTGAACTCAATAAGTTTGTTTCAATTACTTAACAGGACACAATTTTATCATTTTTTGGGAAAATGATCTCTACAAACAAGTCCATCAGATGCACGGTCACAAACCCTTAATACTAAAAAAAAATTGTACATGTTTTCAAGATTTTTAGATTGCAAGTTTTTCATATTCAGCTCAATGAAAACTAAACAAATGCAATGATTAAAAAAGGCCCTAGATTCACAATATATATATATATATAAAAAATTCTCAAATCCACCCAAGGCTATGTCTACAGGAACTCTCAAGTTAAAATGCAATGATATCTCGAATGATAGATTTGAATATTACAGCATATATATTCCCCACACTTTTAAACATTTATTAAGATGCTCTTAGAGCATTTTTTTAGTGTAATTTTTTAAAAAAAATTACAAAAAAAAAAAAATCAAGATTTGACCCTCCTAAAAAAAAATATTTTTGTTTGGTTATTCTTACGAAAATGAATAGAGACACAAGTGTTTTCATTCATTTACTATTTTTTTCTCCCTTTTAAATTCAAAATTCAAACATAATATAAATGAAATGAAATAGCTAAATTGCTTTTGCACCAGCAAGAGTTGGTAAGCCTTTGTTTTACACCAGCTGAAGCTGCCTAAGCAATAGGGGCACAAAATCGAAGAAAATAAATAAATAAATAAATAACTAAAAGGAGGTAAAAAAATATAAAATAAAAACCTACTCAACTGAACGCAATTAGTTTGTCTCAATTACTTAACCGGACACAATCTTATCATTTTCTGGGAACATGATCTCTACATACAAGTCCATCGGATGCATTGCCACAAACCCTTAATACTATAAAAAAATTGTACATGTTTTCAAGATTTTTAGATTGCAAGTTTTTCATATTCAACTCAACGAAAACTCAACAAATGCAATGATTAAAAAAAGGCCCTAGATTCACAATATATAAAAATAAAAAAAATAAAAAAATCTCAATTCCATCCAAGGCTATGTTTACAGGAACTCTCATGTTAAAATGCAATGATATCTCGAATGATAGATTTGAGTATTATTACATATACATTCCCCACACAGATAAAGAAAAGTCCACGGCTGACACAATTACATGAACTCATATTTCAAATTTAGTAACATTTACGTTTTCAGTTTATATTTACAAAAATTTTATAAATTGATTTTTGTTTATTTTTAGAAAAACATAAACTACAAACACGTTTGGTTTAGACAAAATATTTAAAAAAATTTTAAAATATAAAAAAGAGTGAGAAATGGTAAGTGGTGGTGGGTGGTGGGTGGTGACGAGTGGTGGCGACGGAAGACGGTGGTGGAAAATGATGGCGGGTGGTGGTGGCGGAAGACAGTGGTGGAAAATGATGGTAGGTGGTGGTGGCAGAAGACAATGATGGAAAATGGTAGCGAGTGGGTAGTGGTGGGTGAGTGGGTGACGGTGGTGGGTGGTGAATGGTAGCGAGTGGGTGGTGGTGGTGGTCGGTGGGTGGGTGACGGTGGTGGGTGGTGAGTGGTAGGGAGTGGGTGGTGGTGGTGGTGGTGGCATGTGGGTGGCGGATGGCAGGTGGTGGTGGGGGGTGACGGGTGGGTGGTGGATGGTGGTAGCGCACGGTGGGCTGGTGAGCTGCGTGGTGGAGGGCTAGGTGGCGGATGGTGGTAGCAAAGCCCGGGTGGATTGGTAGTGGCGGGTGGGTGCAGGTGGTGGTGGTAGGTGATGGTGGTGTGGTGTGGTAGCGAGTGGTGGCAGGTGGGTGGTGGTGGCTGGTGAGTGTCAGCAGGTGGGTTGGTGAGTGATGCGTGGCAGGTGGTGGTGCGGCGGAAAGACGGTGGGGAAATGGGTGGCGCGGGTGGTGGTAAAAAAAAAAAAACTAAAAACTCAAAACATAAACTTATTTTTTGAGTTTCATTTTTTGGCCAAATTTATAAAGTGAGACCACTGATTTATAAATCAAAAATTTACCAAACAAGTTTTTATTTGAGTTTTTAAAATTTTTGTAAATATAAACTGAAAACTAAAAACGTAAGTGTTACCAAACACCACCTAAATGTTTCTGATACCACAATATAGATTGCCATCACTTTATATAATAATCATAGGATCCACCTCACCTTCACTGTTCCACGAGCATCCTGGACGGGTCTGGAGCTCCCAGTTCTTTTACTAATAGCATGGCTTAGCAAGTGAAGCAGTTTGGTTGATCAGTAGAAATTTAGTTTGATTTGTATTTAGTCGCTTGCTCTCCCTTGCCATTTTGCAAACAGCTATAGCTGACAACACTATAAAAAATTACACTTTTAGCGACTAAATTTTTAGTCGCCACAGGTCAAGTTTTAGTTGTCGAAAGCTTTTAGTGACTAAATTTTTTGGTCACCAGATTGATCGTTGACTAATTGACGAGAAAGGTATTAGTCGCCAAAAGTCATCAATTGGCGACAAAACATTTAGTTACCAAAAGTTTTGAAATAAAATTAATTTTAGTTTTCAACGACTGAAACTTTTAGTCGTGGATAAGTTTTAGTCACAATATTACTACATTTAGGGACCAAAGAATTTATTTGCCAAAATATTTTTTTTTTCATTTTATTTTGTCTTTTGCTACTAACTATTTAGTCGCCAAAAAAAATTATTTTTCATCTTTTTTTTTTTCAAGCTACTAAACTATTTAGTCACCTAAAGTCTCATTTATTTTTGGTTACTAAATATTTAGTCACCAAAAGAAATTATTTTCATCTTTTTTTTTTTAGCTACTCAACTATTTAGTCGCCTAAAGTCTCATATATTTTTTGCTACTAAATTTTTAGTCGCCAAAAATCTTTGGCTTCTTTCTAGCTACCAAATATTTAGTTGCTAAAAATATTGATTTCCTTTTTGGCTACCAATTGGTTACTCACCAATAAGTTCACTTTTTATTTTATTTTATTTTATTTTATAGCTACTAAATGTTTAGTCACCAAAAACTTTATTTAGTGTTTTTTCATTATTATTAATTTCTGTACAATCTGTATTTATTTCGTGCAACTTGCAACCTGTATATAAAGAAAACAATACATGTACCTGTTTTTATTTCACTTTCAACCATCCAAAAATTTGGTCTTTTAACGTCAAATTCCTTATATACAAACTAAATATAATCCAACCTAAAATCACTACAAAAAATTTCACTTTTGGCGCTAAAATTTTAGTCGCCAAAAGCCTTATTTTAGTCGCCAATTACTTTTGGTGGCTAATATATTTAGTCGCCAATAGTTCGTCGGGAAGACAATTGGCGACTCAAATTTTTTTGGTAGCCAAAAGTAACCTATCGGCGACTAAAACTTTATTCGCCATATATTTTTTAAAAATAATTAAATATATATTTTTTACTTTTAGTGACTAAATTATTTAGTAGCCAATTGAGCATTTATGTTTGGCGACTAACTATTTGGTAGCCAAAAGTTTCACTTTTTGAGAATTGGCGACTAAAAATTTAGTAGCCAAAAGTTTCACTTTTTACAATTGGCAACTAAAAATTTAGTAGTCAAAAGTTTCACTTTTTGACAATTGGCGACTAAAATTTTAGTAGCCAAAAGCCAACCTGTGATATTTGTTTAGTCGCCAAAAGGTCTCATTTAGTTTTTATAATTTGTTCTATAATATTTTTTGCGCCATTTGTAACTTGTGCATATATAAACTTATTCACCCATTCATTCATTCAGTCAATTCTCAACCATTCAATAAAAATATTTCTCCACAACGTGTAGCATTCAATTTTCAACCATATACAAAACTTAACTATTAATCGTACATATCAAAGAAAATAAGAATTCATAAACATAATATAAACCAAACCAAGCCTTAAGTCCCATCATATGGGGTCGGCTACATGAATCCTTCTTCTCCACGCAGTCCTATCAAAGGCCATTTCGTTAGTATAATCCAAATTAAATGCATATACATAGTACAATCCAACAAATATATATACTATCCAAACCAACAATTAAAATCCAAATTAAATAAAATCTTAATAACAAAACATATTAGGTGTACATGTCTTTTTATAAACAAAAATATAATGTAAATTGTGCCCATGCAAACATCATCAATCTGTCCCAAAAACATCACTGTATCCAGATAATGTTGTACTTGGTTTTCGACCACGCCCTATGCCTCGTATATAGCCAGCTTTTTGTCCAAATACCTCAATAAAAAGTTGCTCATCAGATAGCGGGCCAGATCCATCTTCCATAGCTTTGTCCTGCCGCTTTTCAAGCTTGTACTACAATATCCATTTGTTGAGATAAAACTAAGCATCCATCCACATTTTATTAAAGATATAAGGAACGAAAGTACATAAAGATTGATGTCTTACATGTCTAATCTCAGCATCAACATGCACCCATGCCTCTTTAAAAGCTCCCACAAAAAAAAAAAAAAGAAAAAAAAAGAAGAAGCATAATGAGATGATCAGTGCAGTAG